ATTTCGATTTCCGAACTATAGTAACGTATTCTACTAAAATGCAAAACAATTAACAAAAATTATATGAAATCATTTCCGTGACTGATACATATAAAATGCAAATTTAACTAATAATGACATGCCAAATCAATATAAACTTTAAATCAAGAACTTGCGATTGTTTTTTCTGTACCTCATCTTCGATTTCTTTGATTTTCTGCATGACAGTCGCCATGGTATTGCGATCAAGACGGAGAAGATTTTTCTAAAGGACGACGTAAATAAATGGAAGTGAATGATAGTTGGAATTCAGTTTTGCCGGAGTGCAAAGCAAAGAGAGAGAGTTCTAGAGAAATCTCGGTTCAACCGCTCGGCCCGGTCAAATTTATGATCCAACTCAGGCCGAAATCCGGGTATTATTATCAAGGGAAATCACAGCTAGGGTCCGAGCGTTTCGAAAATGCAACACTTGGTCCCCAAATAAATTTGTGAATATTTTTAGCTCCAATCTTTATGAAATTAGGCACATATCACCTAATGCAAAATTAACATTGATTTTTGTTGCCCTTTATCTAATTATCAAGAATCACGATGCTAGATTCTTCATCTAGCATGAGGAATCATCATAATTATCTTCATCATGAACTTTAACATTTTATTTGTCATGGAACTCTAGTAGTTTAAAAGCTAATCATCATCCCATGTTGACCATCACCCGTCACTGATCCAAAATTCTCGAGTTTGGTGTGCAATACCCCCAAGAACATCTATCAACTCTTATTGCTACATCATCGTCATGGTCATTTGCTTGTCGCAATTCCATCATATTAGTCGAGTCGATCCGATTCATTATTATCTATAGATAAGGCAAGAGAACTTACGACCTCACAAATGGAGAGGGATTCAAACCCCTAATATTCCTATCAATACTTCAATTTTCAAACGAGCAGATGACTAATTTGTGTTGCCTTCTCCATGCACGGTCTATTCTCTATGGAAGCACCATTAACAAATTGTCATATTCTTAATGCCACTTAGGCCTTGGGCCCTTGGCATGGTTTTCCGTTTGTTTTACTCCTCCCTAATGCCGCTGAAAGAAAGAAGCGTAGTGTCGCTTTGATATCAAATTATGTAATAGATCTGTTATCTTTTCGTTACTCTTTTTCATTATTTTTCATTCATTACCATTAAAAATTATCTCTTTGAAAGCCCTCATTTTACTTGTCTAGTTGATGAACCCATATTACCTTTTATGATTTATTCAATAATTTACTTACTATATTAGTGTCTCCTTGTGGAATATAATACTTGTTTCGTGTAACATTATCACATTGCTAGCATCCAATATACGATCTTAGACCTTTTAGATAATAGAATTATCTAAAATTTAGTATGAGTTCAGCAACTATTAGTATAAATAAATTAAGTAAATGGAAAAATTTTAAGCTCTAACGTACGCTCAAATAAAACAGAGAAAATTGTCATCATCAACTCATTATTCTTCAGAATAATTTCATTGGAAGTCACTCAACTTGCAGGTCTATTCCATGTTAGTGATTAAATTTCGAATTTGATCACCCAATGCTAAAATAGTAATTGCTAACCAAACATATAGAAAGGGGATTATATAAAGGTAAATTTAATGTTCTTAATTTACTCAATTCGAGTTGTTCTTGTTGGCAAAAACAATGTTTAAAAGTAATTGGTACGCAGTCTAGTCACGTGAAATTGACGGAAAATTGTTGATTTAATGAAAATAAAATGTAAGATATGAGTAATTAAAATTAAATAAATTGAGTAACGTGGTTCCAATTAAAATTTCCATAGTTTTTATATGATATGAATTGGTATTCCTAGTACCACAATTTAAGGTCCGAAGATATTGGACTGAAGCCTCTTCCATGAATAGAAAAAAATTAAAATTAAAAACCATGGAAACCTCATAACCATTACCCATTTTTCTTCAATTCTTGAAAAAGAAAAAAAAAATCCCAATTTCATGGCCACTATTTTCAGGTTTGAAACCTCAGATTAAACAACCACACCTGTTTCTTTCTCTAGATCTCTCTCGTGGGCATTCATTCTCCTGTTGCTGGTTCTGAAGGTCCGGTAATGGGGGATCCAAGTTCAAGCATGGAGGCGGAACCTTCACGACCAACTCCTCCACCGCCGCCAACGCCGTCATTGTCTCTGGTTCAGCCTTCAACCAAGAAGAAAAACAAACACGCCAGGGTATTTCGTATTTTTCGTAATGTTTTCCGATCATTTCCGATAATGACACCCGTTTGCAAACTCCCTTCCATCCCCGGAGGCATATTAACTGACAGCCGTTCCGTCGCGGGCTCACGCATCACCGGCACATTATTCGGATACCGGAAAGGCCGGGTAAGCCTATCCATTCAAGAAAACCCTAAGACCCTCCCCACATTGGTGGTGGAGTTGGCCATTCAAACCAATGTGCTGCAAAAGGAAATGAGCCTTGGAATGGTAAGGATCGCCCTGGAATCCGAAAAACGACCCGACAAAGACAAGACGAAGCTCTTGGAGGAGCCATTATGGACAATGTATTGTAATGGAAAGAAATCCGGCTATGGCGTGAAGAGGGAGGCGACGGAGGAGGATTTGAATGTCATGGAAGTTCTCAAGGCGGTGTCGATGGGGGTCGGAGTGTTACCGGGGAAATCCGAGGCGGAAGGACCGGACGGTGAAATGGCGTATATGAGGGCATACTTCGAACGAGTTGTGGGATCCAAAGACTCGGAGACTCTATACATGTTGAGCCCTGATGGTAACAATGGACCTGAATTGAGTATTTTCTTTGTAAGGATTGGTTGATTTTTTTAATTTCATGCCAAGGTTGAGTAGTGTTAATTTATAGATTTATATTTTATGTAGACGAAATATTGGTAAAAATAGATACATAATTTATTTATCCGAATTAATTTAAGAACTTTCTAATTTGTTCTTAGTTTCTTTATCTTTTAGAACCAGGATTAGCGATATGATTTATTTTTTTCTTGGCATCGACTCTTACTAATTTATATTTGATGAAAAAACCTCGAATCACTTGCTAGTATTTTTCAAAAATTTTAGGAAACCTAAGAAGATGGTCTTATTTTTATTGATCTACTTCAACATGATATACTTATTAGGAAGAAGATTTTGGATGAAATGGAGATCCTCAAGACGGTGTCGATGGGTACCCGGTCGTTTCCGGGAAATCCAAAGGGTACATTTTAGATGAAATTTGGTAGATAAAAAGGATTGAAAAAGGTCATAACTTATTTATCAAGATTAATTTATAGGCTTTCTAATTTGTTCGTTGTATATTGTTGTAGGCTTGTAGCTTATGATTTAAAACACTTTAATTGTCGCTTTCAAATAAATAAATAAAAACAAAAAAAAAACTTTGTTTTTTGTTGCTATTGAGTTTAAATTTTTTTTGTTTTGAAAATATAATGTAACTTAGATAAATACAATTATATTTTTGTATATTATTACTATATTACTAGCATGTTAAATTATTTGTAACCCTAATTAAAATGTTAAAAACTTGTAACTCTTACATAATTATGGTATTAATATTATTAACAAGGAAGTTATAAATTTGTTACTTTATAACGGGTTAAAATGGAGGAGGAGAGACTCTTGATTCTACTATGATTCCATTTTCAATATACTAGTAAGTGAATGTACAAGTCAATGGCAAGTGTGGTGTGCATATTGTAATAACCAAGTTCAAATAATAAAATAATATAATTACTTAAAATGGTTAAAACAAAAACTTTAGTCAAATGTGTCAAGCTAGGGAAAAAAACCCACAAAACAATAAAATAATAATAAAGTAGCTAGGCGGTGGGTTGAATTGTTTTATACCAATCCAATTTTGGATCCAAATCCATTTTGCACATTCCACATGGAGAGAGTAAACGGATTGGGAGAAAAAGAAGAGGGAAATGATATGTACAACATAAATAATAATAATAATAATAATAATAATAATAAAGGAAAACGAGGAGGAGGAAAAGAGAATACAAGAAGAACAGAAGAAAATCAATAGTAAAAGGAAGATGACTACAGCCCTTCAATAGCGATGGTCCTTATTTTTTTTTTAGCCACAATAGGTAAGAGGAACAATATAAGTTTCTTCAATTTTATTTGCTCGATTTGTAGCATAAAACACTTCTCCACTAGCAAATGATGGGTTCTTTCAAGGCTGGCAGTTCAGAGGTCATGAGTTCGATTCGTGGGACTCTTGGAAGGCAAGGCATATACTGGAAGGTAGGATTTATCTTGGAAGGCAGGAATGTCTTGGAAGGCAAAGCGCAGCATGGGTTGGCTCACTAAACACTTTGGCAGTTCAGTTGGAGAGTCGCTCGAACCCTGGTCAGTAGGAGGCACATTCCGCGATTTAATTGGTCTGTGTGAAGAGGGGCCGGATCACAGACCCAAGGAATAGTCGTCGAATGCGGACACCTTGAAAAAAAAAAGTGATACTTACCAAATGGACATAATTTTAAATGCATCATTATTCTACTTTGGGTTCTTTACATTGTAGAAATGTTTACATGATGAAGAATTAAAAATGGATAAGGATATTAAATAAATAGGTGTTGGTTCTTGCTTCTGACAACCGAATTGAAAGGGAAAGAAATGGTTTTATTAATTTGGAACAAAAAATGGAAATTATATATACATAAGAAATTTAACGAATAAATTAGAATAGATTACTAAAAAAATTGAAATTGGTATGTTATCATTTTTATAATCAAATTTTAATTAGATCGAATTGAATTGAGCATTGACTTGGATAGTTCTCTTATTACCACAGGAGGAAATACATACATGAGGACAGCCTATCAACCGTTCATAGTTCTGTGAGTGGAAAAATATAAATATTTTTAAAGTATTTATAAATTAAGTATATTATCAAAGTATGTGCAATTATGTATTCGAATTATATGGTTATTATAGAAATATCTTTTATTATGATACATGTGGATTTTAAAGATTGTATACGGTACATTGTGAATTGGAATATGATGTATGATTTTGAGATCGACTAGAAAAGTTTCCGTGATTATATATTTCTTCTAGTTTATTGAGGGGCATTGGCCGTGTTCTATACTACACTGAGGGGTTTTGGACAGGGGATGAAGGGGTCTCGATCGTATATATATAGTTCACTGAAAGGCCTTGATCGTGTTCTAGAATTGATTATGAGAGATTTTTGAG